GGAGTTTAAAGATAAATAAATATGGTGTATATTTGCCATACTTTAACAACTAAAGAAACAATGAATTACATAAACACAATAATGAAAATGCAAATAAGTATTGTTATAATAATAACATAAAATATTCATAATAAACAATTTAAATACTCATGAAACAAATGACAACAATACACTTTGTTAGCTGCGGAAGACTTTCTGGCTTATCCAAAATTGCAAATAAAAACAATGTTATATCTGGATTTGTGTGCATGTGTGACTGCTAGTTGAGCATCAGCCTGCAATTATTGTACATTGTGTTACTGCTGTTGTATTGTTTTTGCACCCACTGTGCTCCACACCACACACCATGCGTGTCCCTTAGCTGCAGTTCCCCGATGAGCAGCCGGGGCAGCCATGCATGTAATGGATAAAGGCATCTGTCGGAAACGCTATATTAGCAGTCGTCCTTTGTTTCAGTTATTAGCCACGGGTTGCTACTAACATTTGATATTTTATTCTCAAATAAGTACATCTTCTTTAAGGCCGCAGCTCTTGACTGCCGCTGCAGCATTTGTCCAGTAATCCGCCAGCGCAAAATGGACCTAAAGCTGGGCCTTTTTCACCTGCTAACTGAAAGGCCAACGCGTCTTAGGCAGCCCCCTTTGCTCACAATCCACTTTTGGTGCCAGATTAGTCAAATTCGTTTCTCGGCTGGCTTTTCCGCGTTTCCAACTGGCACCTGATGGCCAAGTTATGTGCTCTAAGCCGCCAGGTATTATACGAGTCTCAGCGGACGGCAATGCCGGCAGCGCCGATAAATTGAAGTCTTGGCAAAAAACTGTGACGGTAATTCTGTAGACGACAATTATGGAAATCAAATCAAAGCGGCGACATAAAAAGTTTGATTTGTAAGAAAAGAAATCTATGTACTGGAATTAAATATTAATGTAGGGTCTGCCTATTTACCTTACCTTAACTTAACGCAAGGAAATACAGGGAAATACAATAATAAAAACATTTTTAAGAAATACATCTGAAATCCCAGACAGACGTTAAAACCTTTAACAGATGCACAGATTTCGCACTGATCTCTTTTCCAGGACTTTAAATATAACCTATTAGGGACCCTCTTACATATTTCTGAGAAAACATTGTGCCGCCTCAATACTATATATATAATTAATCCTATTACTACATAAATTAAGATCTTGGCACAACACTGGGAACTTACACTTATGCGGTATTCATTTCCCTTTCTCGGCAATATCATTAGCAACATTTTGTGCATGCCGTCCAGAGAGGACGGAACCCTTTTGGGAACCAAAAAGGTGGGCACATAAATTGAATTCCCTAATTATGCAGCAACGTGTCGGCCGGCAACATTTGCTAATTGCTTATAAATTGTTGAATTGTTTAATGTTTTTAACAGCTGACTGGCAAAAAGGGGTTAACGACGAGCGTCCCACGAGGACGATAACTTCAGCTAGGACACATTGTGGGCGGGAATTCACGCCGTGCCGGACAATTAAGAGGCGCAACAAATGGTCATTCTGTGTTAATTAGCCGGCTGCCTAGTAGCTGCCGCTTGTTACCGGTGATTAGTTACAGCCATCGCATATTGATGCCAGCTAATCGCATTGGTTGCCGAAACATGTTTAGCTACTTAGTAGCCGGCAGGCTGATTGACCGAGCGATGCGGCCTAATGAATTGGCACATGACTGCCGCAATGTTGCCGCAACTATTCAAGTCGGATGCTTGAGGTGGCGCACACAGACGGAAATTAATTAAAATGACAAAACCTCATTTTCGCCCAACAGCTCAAACAAACCTCTGTCAACACCTTTTTGGCTTCCACTCGTTCGTAAGCGACACGAAAGCACACACATAACCACGTTGAACCTGTCTTCGGACCTGGAGCTGGGCAATCAATCACAGAAATTAAAAATAATCGCTTAGAGGGAAAAAAAAACTGAACAGAGAATCTAGTTAAAGCGTAAGCGCACTAAACTATTTTATGCCCTGTATTTATGTTGCAAGTCGAGAAGAACACATTGGTAACGCTTTCCATATCAATACATCTACTGTAAAAACTAGTATTGCACTGGGAAAATCAAAAGTAGTGATTACGACTATAAAAGTATTTTAAAAAGTACATTTCTTTTAATACAAAATTCAAATATAATATCAATACAGTAAAGAACAAGTAAGAGGTTCTAGTCGGGAGCTCCCGACTAGGGTATACCCTGAACCCTCTTCTTCCAACATCAAATGCATATATATATTCTATTTTAGAAGCTATATGTCAAGTTTGGTGATTCTACCTCTTATTATTTACCAAAAGGGGCTGCCAACTTATGAAGAATGCTAACATAAAGATGTAGAATGTATATTTATTTTATATAAATATCATGATTACATAATATTCATCGTCATGTATACTTTTACTTATTTTCACAAGCTGGCATCTTTTTGTTAGCATTCTTCTTAAGTTGGCAGCCCCTAACATTAATATATTAAGGATGAATGCTGCCAGATAGTTTTTCTTACATAACAGGGGGTATAATAAGAAAAATAGAAGAATGCGAATTTCTCAAAAACTGGCTGGACGATTTTCTTGATGTAAAAAGCAAAATGATTGATAATTCGCGATCTATATCGGAAAATATAATAATAAAGGTTGAAATATTGCCACCTTTTCGTTTTTATACGTGTATAACTACTTAAATGCATAGTTGTCGTCTTTTGCAACAGCCTATTTTACCAAAGATAATGTTTTATTGTAAAATGACAATTATTTCATATATTACTGCATTTCTCTTCCATATACAAGTATTTTGAATTCATTTGGTTCCCGCTCAATACTGTATAACATTGTTCAACACTGATTCCGAGCAGTGGTTCGGTTCCCGTTGGAGCTAGTAGCTCGATAGGCCTTTTGAATGAACAACATGAGGTGTGTTTACATTTTGCTATTTTTCTAAAAAACTGGCTGATCGATTTGTTTAGAATTAATGCGTAAAGCTTCCTTAAACATGTATCTTCAAGTTGGTATACCGTGCATTGAGGGCCATTATCCCTGAGAAAAGATATTAGGGTTCAAGTGCAAGGGTGATTTTTTACGGTCATTTTGTATGGGGCTAGCAACGAGGTTGCTGCACTGTAGTACAAATATCTTAAAAACGTGCTGATCGATTTTAATGATTTTTTCAAGATTGGTTAGGTGAAACTATAGACTTCAATCGTGTATATGCGGTTTTCGGGGCCATTATCCTTGAATTAAGATATTTAAAGAATGGTGAAAACCTAACTTTTCAACCCCTTTGTTTACCCATATTATAAATTAAAATTCAAAAATAAATGAATGTAGATAATAAATAATTTAATTTTTTGCAATTCTGCATTTAAATTTATTTAGTTTCGTGCTTAAAACCATAAATAAATGCATTTGAAAGTGACCGATACTTTTCCGATAGCAAGTACCAAAATTCGAAAAGAAAACTATCAATACCAATTATTTTCAATCACAGAAAAATAAAATCATCGATTTGACCACTTCACATTTTATTAGAAGATCAAGAGACACATTTGAGAGCAATCTATGATGGAGATACAGAGTTTGAATCCAGTCTTATGTCCATTATAACTGATCCTCAAAATGCCTGAGGTCAAATAACACTTTATTGTTCTTTATTTCGAATTGACATTTTTCGAAAAGTATCTTGTATCGCTCAAGATTCAACCTTCTTTCTTCCAATCTTTCTTCTTTCTTAAATTTTTCTTTCTCAAATTCAAACTTGTCTTCCTCCAATCTGAGCTTGCGGTTCTCCAATATAAGCTTGAGTTCCTCCATTTTTTTGTCCTGCTAAAATTGTTCTCATAAAACAAATTAATTGGCTCAGCCTCCCGTTTGGCGATAAGATGTATCTTACCTCGAATGATGCCATAACAAAAAGTTATACAAAAATGTTATAGAATTGCAAAACTTGTTGCGACTTAGTTCTTTGTTGCGCTCAGAAGGCCCCCTTTTGTGAAATACAATCGTCATATTTTACTAGCGATGGGCAACGTAGTCAAATAGGCGCAGAAGCGCAATATTGTGAATGGGGCGTTACCGATAGTTTTACAAGTGCTATACAACGCAAAAAAAACAGTTACTCAGAGCGAATTACAATATAGATGGCAAATGTTATATGTGGGGGATTCGCAAACAAAGCTACAACACCATGTAAACACTCTTAACACAGTATAATTTGTACTTTAAATCATCAATTGATAGCAAAATAACAAATTTTCAGTATATATTTTGTCAACTGAAAATATTGTAATATTTGGTCACACTATTTTATCGACTCACAATTAATCGATAGCACAGCTCGAAATAATATATCGACGGCAGTCGGACAACAATGGCAATTGCTTAAACCATATTACTTTCAAGTTGTTTCTCTGGTGAGCAACGCGTTTGTGCATAAAGTGCACCAGCCAGCCACAACAAAGCATTTTATTTAACAATTCACCAATTTGTTGAGCACCCCCTTTGTCGAAGATGGGGAAGTACCCACATTACTGTGTCAAGGCCCTCGTCTTGCTCTGCTCGTGCTTCGATCTGGGCCATGCATTTCGCCCCACCTATGTCGAGGAGGAGGCTCAGAGTGTCCGGGCCACCCTGCCAGGCGAGCTAAAGTTCGTGCATGTGGTAAGTCAATGCCAATATCCGGGCATGCTAGTTTGTGCCATATGGTTAATGCTAGTGTTTTTTCAATGCAGATATATCGACATGGCGACCGAATGCCCGTCGACCCGTATCCAACAGATCCGTGGAACAATCGTAAATACTGGCCCACGGGCTGGGGTCAACTTACAAATGTGAGTATTTGTACGGGCTGTGATTCAACAAGTCTTACTCATAATTATTTGTCAGCGTGGCAAGCAACAACACTACGAGCTGGGCAAATGGCTGCGAAAACGTTACAGCTCATTGTTGGACGCCAGGTACGACAGGGAGCAGGTCTTTGTTCAGTCCACGGACGTGGATCGCACACTTATGAGTGCACAGTCCAACTTGGCTGGCTTATACGAGCCTGTTGGCGACGATGTCTGGAATCCCCTGATCAAATGGCAGCCAATACCGGTGCATTCCGTGCCCGAAAAGGACGATCCGGTAGGTGTATCTCACGTATTAAATTTGTTAGATATGTTAAATAATAATCAGAAACTTTGAACAGATTCTGGCTGCCAAGGCACCTTGTCCTGCCTTCGACTACTATCTGGAAAACTTCAAGGCATCCGCCGAGTTTCAGGCCAAGTGGGCACGTTACAAAGATCTCTTTGATTATTTGGGACAAAATAGCGGTCGGCCCATTAAGTCATTTATGGATGCACAATATTTCAACAACACATTGTTCATTGAAACCCTGTACAACCGAACCCTGCCCGAATGGGCACAGAAGGTTTACGGCGGCGCTGACCTGACCTACGTCTCGAATTTTGCCTTCTCCATAAATACCTACACACGTCAGCTGGCACGCCTAAAGGGCGGACCGCTCCTCAAGGATGTGCTTACCCGTTTGGAGAGCAAGCATAAGAAACAACTGTCGCCGGATCGGTCTGTGTTTATATACAGCGCACATGATACCACAATTGCCAACATGTTGAATACCATCAAGCTGTTTCAGGTATAAGGAAATAACCAATTATGACTAGCTTAAGCCTTGTAGAGGATCTAATAATCAGGCATCTCCGAAGACATAAATTATATATATGGTATTGTAGATAAGTATCATCAAGGCCGAGTCGATAGCCAAGTCCGTCTGTCTTTTCATACGTCCGCCTTTCTGTTTCAGGCAGAGTTTCTGTTTCGAAACATTTTCACTTTTCAATATATTTTCGTATCATATTCACATATCTTCGGCGTGCCGAGTGATTTTATCATTCTATTGCTTCAGTTTAGTTTTAATTCCCATTTATTTTTTTTGTCATTTTCCAGCTGCACAGTCCGCCGTACACGGCGTGCATAATGTTCGAACTGCGTGTGGATGACAACAACAGGCCCTTGGTTTCCGTATTCTATAAAAACACGACAGCCGAACCGCTGCCAATGTATATACCTGGCTGCGGTGTATCCTGCCCGCTGTCAAAGATGTATGCACTATATGAGGATGTCTTGCCGGAGAACTGGACGGATGAGTGCAAGCGATCCACACTGACAATGACATACGAGGAGGCCAATTTGGGCGCAGCAACAGGCAAGTTATCATAGAAAAACTGGGATAATGCAGAATATACATACAAGTATCTATAGTTCCTTATGAATATGTTAAGTATTTGAAGTATTAAATAATTAAGCAGATAATTAACTAGAATTAAAAATATATTCTTGCAGGCATTCTCATATGCATCATTGCCGCTCTGCTCTGCGTCAGCTATGGCTTGATGATCTACTATCGTCGCCGTGATTACAACATGCACACTTCCTATGCGCAAATGGCGTAAATTATGGCATCGATGGGATGGCTGGGTTGCTTATTGAAAGACTACGTCAACTTCCTGAATTACGATCGAGTTATTGCTCAGCTTTAGCCACTTATTTTTATATATCTCCCCTTGTCCTTGATTGAATGCCATTAATTATTTGTTTAAGTACGATAATTGTTTGTGCTCCATATATGTACGTATTTTGTGCAACAATTGTAAATGTAAATTTAGATCGAGTTATTGCTCAGCTTCAGATCTTTTATATATCTCCTCATTTTGATTTAATGTCATTAATTCTTTAATTAATGCTTATTGTTTGTGTACGCATTGCGTGCGACAATTGTAAATGTATATTGTTAAGCTCATATGATCTTGTTGTTGCTTTTGTTAAACGATGACAAAACAAAGACTGTGAATGGTTACCCTGAAAGTTTCTTGCACACATTTACATGTGTCCCATCTTATATATATCATATAAATTAGTAAAAATATATATATGTATAGATGCATATATTTGCATTTACGAGTATAGGCCTTTTGTGAAAACATCTTGTTGTACAAACCACTTTTTTGTGAACTGCAAAAAATAAAAAGAAACGTGCTCAAAATTAAAACAAACATCTGTTGTATTATATTAAGAAACTCAAAAATAATAAAGCTGGTAATTCGACAAGAAATCTTTCTTTTTTAGATGCAATTTTAAGAAGTCGCAACTGGAAAAGATAAGAACTAATTTACTATTAAGGCTGCAATTCCAGGAAACTTTAATCAAAGCCTCGGCTTAAGGTTCAGCTTCCGACTTCGAGCAGCAAAAAGGATAATAATTATAATTTGAATCGCTTCTAATATTATACTATAATTTGTTTATTACGCTTTTGCGATTTGTCGACTTAATTATGTTAAGATACGGAATGAACTAGGTCTATATACATACAACATGTAGAACCTGCGACTGACTGAGAGATTGGGATGAGACAGCGAGACGAGTGTCTGAAGATTTGTGTGTCTATCTATATGCCTTGTCGTCCGAGTAGATGATGTACGGTTGGTGATGATGCGTCAGGCTCTCGGCGCCATCCGCGCTGGCCGGCGCGCCCGCTCCGCTGAAGTAGGACATGCGCGACATGGTCGAGTAGGCGGCCACCGCCGCCGCCTGCTGCTGCGCCTGCTGCTGTTGGGCCACCTGCTGCTGCTGTCGCTGCGTCAGATTCTGCGTGGACTGCGCCTTGTGCGACAATGTGGCATAGTTGGCCTGGTAAGGCGGCACGGCGTAGAGCGCCGGCCCGGTGGCTCCGTTCTTGTAATTGTAGGCGGCATTGTGGGCGCCCAGCTGCATGGCCGTCGGCATGCCCATCATCGCGGCGCTCTGCTGATACTCGGCATTGCTCATGCGCAGTCGGATGATGCATATAATGATGATCAATATGGCTATGAAGGCGACGACGCCGCCGACTATGCCAATGATGAGCGTATCGTCGTTGCTGATGATCGGCGCCTGGGCGCCTTTCATGAGCGGCGCCTTTGTCTTCATCTTCATGATCGTCGGCTGTGTGGGGGGCTCCAGGCTCCAGATGATGAGCGGCTCCTCCGTGCGTGAGGTCAACAGTTGGCCGGAGTTCTTGTGCAGCTGCGAAGTGGAGGGACGCGCGGAGGTGGAGGAGCTGGACGAGGATGTCATGCGACGCGGATCGCAGGTGAGCTCATCGTCGCCCACCTCGATCAGCTTGCGCCCGGCCAGATAGGATGGTTCGCGGCAGACGAGCTCCGGCATGCCCGAGCTGGGCAGCCAGCGACGCAGAGCGCGTGCATCGCAATTGCAGTTAATCGGATTGCTGGCCAAGCCCTGCAGCTGCAGGCTCGCCCGCCGATCCTCGAGTGCGTTGAGGAATTGTGGCACAAGTGAGCCGATCTTGGAGCCCTCCACGTTCAGTCGGAGCTGGGAGGAGCGCGGCACGGGGAAGAGCAGAGCTGGGGGCAGCGCTGTCAACGATGTATTCTGCAGCTTGATGGTCAGATCGCTGCTCCGAAGCCCGGCCAGAGTGCCGGAGGATATGGACTTGAGGCGCTCGCCGCGTATTCCGATCGAGCGGAGCCTTGGATGCTTGAGTGGCTGGATTTGCTCGCTGCCTATGGTCGCATCCTTGACCTCAATGTCCAGCTGCTCGAGGCCCGGCAGCAGTTCCATGATGCCCTGCAGATCCAGATAGCCCAGGAGCGGCAAGTCGTACGCCTCCAACGTGGCCAGATTGGGCAACGGCCGGAAGGCCTGCTTCTCGATGCGGCTGCACAGCGGCAAATGGTTCAGCCGGAGCGTCCGGAGCATCTCCAGCTGGGCGAAGTTTGACTGGGAGATGAGCTCGAAGCTATTGTTGGAAACGTCCAGCTCTTGGAGCACCTGCAGCTGCGGCCAGGCGGGCGACAGATCGTCTAGGGATTTCAGCTCATTGCTGGACAGATCCAGAGTTTCCAGCAGGGTGACACGTTGGAAGATCTCCGCCTTGATGTTGCGCAGCTTGTTGTGCGAGAGATTCAGATACTGCAGGAAGGGCGTCTCCAGCAGC